TGACATCGCTTCATGTAGGTATTTAGAAATTCAGTAAAATTGCTTATTTCTCGCAGATAGTTTTAACTGATGTAATATTCTCGTGAGATAAGTCGAATGTTTAAATATTCCATAGAACCCATCATCATTTCCGGCTTCGGAATAATTTCATCTGTTTGTTTTTACTGTTTTTTCATATGAATTTTAATATTTGATTATAAATCGTCAGTCAGAAAGGAGAATTAATGCTGTTGTGTGATAAAATGTCCATCATATGAAGGTTTTATATATGCAATATTGCATTTAACGTTGTCATATTATCTGCTTATCTCCAAATTTTTTGGGCAAAATTTTCGACAGTAATCTTAGCATTTATATATTTTAAGCTGAGATTAAACCTGTGTTGATTACATTCTGTAACTTTTGAAAATCATTCGCAAAGTTTGAATAATCTTTATATTGAAGTTGAGAAATAAAAAAAAATCAAATGATTCGATTTCTTTCAATTTCAGAGGAGATTGTAAAAATTGATAGAAGTGTTATCATGCCTAACAATTGTTATTTGCCAGTAGTAGGTTATTGATGCAGGCTTTAGTGACTTTTTTTGTTACATCTATATATATAGACGATGCGATTAAAGAATATACTTTATTATAAATCAATTAATAGATTAACAATTAATTTTAAAATAATTTATTTTTTATCTTTTCATAAAGAAGCGTATATCATAGATTTGCATGTCAGATATTCGCGATTTAATTAAACAATTGTTAACATCCTGAATGGGGTGTTAGAACTTCAAGTTTAAAAAGGACCGTGAAGATTTGTGAATTAACTTAAATGAATATGAAAGCCAAATAAGCTATGAGTAATAACATATAATTGATAGAAGAATATTTAATTTGTCTTGGAATCCTGGTGGAGTCATATCAAAGACCGCATAAACGAGTAGAGGAAGAATTGAAAATAGAGTGAAATGGAAATCATTGATACATTTAAAGAGGATGGGAATTTCCTAAAATTTTGTAGAAAAACCTTTAGAACTAAGTTAGGAGCATTAAAGTTAGAGTAGGGGCTTAAATCAGCTGATATCTTAAACAGTCAATTTTAAAAAGGTAAGACTGGGAATTATTAAAACGCTAGATTGCGAATTATGATAAATGCCTAAACTCCAAAATGGATATAAAGCTATCATTGGACAGTGATGAAAGGCTGTACAAAGATAAAGATTATTTCCAAGTTTCATATAATATAACTGGCACACGTTAGGATAAAGAAAACATTTAGGAAATATGGAATGTTCTGAACTTCTTAAATATCTAGTATATACGAGAGAGGGAAAAGAAATTAGAAAATAATTATTTCATGAAATACAAAAAAATAAACTGTTAAAAATTTCATGTCTTACTATTTTGAATAAATTATTTTTTTTAATTCGTTAAAGAAATGAGTGAATCAAAATTTCGTAGCATCACAAAGCGCTTATGCTGTATACAGTTACCAAGACCATCTTAAGTTTGTCTTCAGTTACAATAGAATAATGTTAGACATAAAAGATGAAAAAAGCTACAAAAGATTTGAGTGAGAAGTTTAGGGATACTAGGTTCAAAATTTCAAGCTTTAACTTTAAACATGTCTTTAATACCTGTGCATAAGGCACAAATGAAGAAGAGGAAAACGTACCGTTACCATAATGTAACCGTCCAGTAGCAATAGATAATAGATTCCAATGAACGTATATCTCTTTCTTTGTGATCTGTAAAATCTTGGAAAAATAAGAAAGATATGTATGAATAGATTAGTATAAAAATATTTGTTGAGTAAATTGTGGTAAACAGAAAGTTCATGCAAAAGTGACACCTCAGAAAAGCTTAAAATATTGAATTATTTGAACTTTATGATACGAGCACGTTTTTTAAATATAACTTAAGTAATGGTATATTTTGTTGAAAAGATTCTTTTTAATTAAAAAATAACAATTTTGGAAGTATAGAACACAAATCTTTCTGAAAATATATCACATATAACTCATATTATTGTCTAATATATAACTCTAGTTTTTATATAAAACAAATTCACATGATGGTTGCATTAAGCGAGAGGCAGAAACCTCAAAACTTATACATTTAATTAGACGTGGGAATATAGATGCTTATCTATCTAAGAACCATAATGAACAATAATCAATTTTTGCGTTACGCCTATATTTTTTTCTTCGACGACAAAGTTAGACAAAAATTCGGTAGTAAATTGTTAAGCAACTCAGTCTCATTTGGATATGACAAAAATAAAAATTGACTTTTTGTTAAGTTTTTATTATTATCATTGCGAATTCTTCTTCGACCAAAATATGCAATAAAAGTTCAGAAAGGCTGGTAGGATAGCTTGATAAAAAATATATACGGGTATGTTACTAATAGATTGAATGTATGTATAAATTCTATTGAAAATTGATTTGATCCAGAATGTACCTTGTCTTCACACATGACTCAAGGTACTTCATCTTCTCTTCTGTAACAAGACCAGAGTTCCTGAGACATGTAAGAATGCAAGGTTCATTGACAATTGTTTCAATTGAATTGTAAATTCCATACCTTGTCAAGTCAATGTCAGACTTATTTATGAACGGGAAGTATCCAGCATGTTGTCTGACTGCTTGAGGGTTAGGTTGGTACCATTCGAACTTGACACTTGCAATTCCTTCAATTGCATTCAAAATGTCTGAGTCGGAGTCAACCATTTGTTCTCTCTTTGTAGTCTTGAAAGCGTCAAGAAGTTTTGCAGCTGTTTGTTCATTGCCATTTGCATAGTAAATGTGACCATCCAAATCTGTTATGGTCAATCTGAGATTGTATCCTTTCTTATTTCCGTCTTGTATGGCAGCAAGTACACCCATGAAGCCTTCTTTGTTCTTTCCTTCGTCAAAGTTTACTGTAAAGGTTCGACCAGATGTAATTTGACTTCTAACTTCACGATACTTTTCATATGCATATCTTGTTCTTTCCATGGGAGCATGTGCGTCTTCACCTTTTCCTTTTTTCCTTCTCAAAGGATGCAATTGTTCGTCATGTTTCCAGTAGAATCTGGCAAAGCCGTCGTGTCCTTCAACTTGTGGCTCAGTAACATTGAAAGGCATGTTCATAAGACGTTCTTCTTCTAACCTCTCCAGTCTGTTTGGATAATTGGCACGTGCTGTTTCCAAATCCATTTCGTAGCGAAGACCAGACAATTTGTCATAGACTTTTATGGGTCTTCCTTTCTTATATTTAAACTTCTTCGAAACTCTCCAACCATATCTTTGTAACTCTGCTTTTATTCTAGCAGATTTTCTATCCATTCTATATGGGGGCATTTTTATAAAAATAAAAAAATATTTTTTTCTTTACTTAACATAACCGCCTGCTGCCATAAGTCTTTGACGCCAACCCATACCAGCTAATGAAGGTTGACTTGGTTTAGTTTCCAAACTAAACTTTGGTTTTGGTTTATCTTCAGTTTTTGGTTTTTCTTCTTCTATCGGTTTTTCGTCACTTTTCGGTTCCTCTGACTTTACTTCACTTGCAGGTATGGTTGTGTCGTTAGTATCTTCATAAATATCATATGCCATTTGTTTTTGTTTTCCTTTCAACTTTTTGTGTTTGTTGTAAAGTTTAGAATATTTCGACTCTAAGTCAATGAGATGTTCTATAATGAACTGTTGGTCAGTGAAGTAAACTTTTCCATCTGTTGTCTCATAAACTCCTTCAGACTTCAATATTTTATTTGTGAGAGTCTGTTTCTTTTTTGAGATACTAGCCGTTCCATTTCTATGAAAAGTGACTTTGTAGTTAGGGTTTGTATTTCCAGACCTGGCACTTTCTATTATTGAATTTTTCTCTTCATCTGTAAGTTCTTTGACAGGTTTTGACAATGGTTCTGAACTTTTTGTTTGTGGTGTCAAATCTACCGTTTCAACTTCTTCGGTCATTTCATCTCAGTAAAAAATTTTAGTTTGGTTTGTTTTCAACTGGTTGTTTAGGTTTTTTAAGTCGGTCTAAAACTTCCTGAGGTATAGGGAGGACTTGACAAACACGTGGTGGTGTAACTGCTGGAAGCCGACAAATCCATCTTGAGCCCATTTGTCTCAATGCTGTATTGTTCATTTCATCTCAGTAAAAAAATTTACATTCCCCACGTTTGAGGTGGTTGAGGTTGGTTATTGTTTACCCACTGTTGTGCATGGTTATATCCTCTGTTAAAGAATCTTTCACCTTGGTCCATGTAGTGCCCTGCTTGTTATAGTAGTCATTTGCTTTGTTATAGTAGTTTCCTGCTTGTCTTCCTACATTGTCCATCCATCCTTGAACTTTTCCTCTTGTTTCAGGATTTGGAATAAGATTTGCTGCATCTCGTGCTACCTCCCAACCTTTCTGTACGGTTTGTATAATAGGTTGTGCTTTCTCTTTCAGTATACCTAATGTACTCAAAATCTTCCTTCCAATTCCAAATGCACCTCTGGCTATTGTTCCCACTGCGGGCAAAAATCTGGATGCAACTCCTGCTAATGCGCCAAATAAACCCATTTCTTATGGGTTAAAAAATGACGAATCCAAACAAGGACCCCTATGTTTCTAAGGCAACAAAGAAAGCACTCATGGTAAAAATCTTTAGTTCAACACCAAATGCTTGGTTTATGGATATCTTGGAAAACATTCCGAGGTATAGAGAAGATGGACCACCATACTGGCTAATATTTGTCGGTCAAAACACAAGATACTGTGAAGCCATACCATTATGGTCCAAAAATATTTTAGATGTGAAAACTGCTTTGACAATATTCGTTGACAAATACCATCCAACAAAACTGACATCTGACTGTGAAAGTTCTTTCAAATCAGACGATATTAAAAACTATCTGCGTTCAAAAAATGTAAACCAATATTTCATTGTCGACCAAAACCATTCTGCTCTTGGTGTCATTGACAGTTGTATAAAAAATCTTAAGAGACTTAAACCAACCACAAGGTGGTGAGGTAGATGAAATGTCATATGACGACAAGTACAGACACTTCTCCATGGCAAAGATGAGACAAGTTTTAAATATTTACAATAGCCGTAAACAAAAAGGTTTGGGAAACCATTCCCCTGAAGAAATGAAAAACAACCCTGACTTAGAGAAAGACTATATATTTAATAGTTTAGTCAAAAGAGACAAACAAGAAAGAATGCCAGGCTTCAAACTTCAGAAAGGTGACAAAGTAAAAATAGAAATACCTAAACGCGACCCATATGAAAATACTATTGACTATGACAACAATGGGAACTCGACAGGTACTCGCATTCGTGTTCGTAAAAATAGAAGAAAGTATACAAGAGAATATTATGAAGTTTTAGGCAAACATGGCAAAATGTACACACTGCAAGCAGAAGATAAAACTACTATTGTCAGACCTCGTTTCAAACTTGTCAAAGTTCAAGGTGGTATACTTTCAAAGACAGTTCCTAACAAATATAAGACAACTCCTGACGAATATGCTAAAGAAGTTGAAAATGACGACTAAGCATTTCTATACCATGCGTAAACTGTCATGTAAGGTGGCATGTAGTCTTTACTTTGTCCCGTTGTTTGCGTATACCCTGAAACGCGATGTGTATGGTTTCCATCTCCCTGAGTGTCACCCAGAAACAATTTATAGCAACTGAACGTCGTCTTTAACATCATATCCTTTACCTTTTTTCATTGCTGACCAATCCCAAAATTTATGCTTATGCCAACCTGCTTGAGATGTACTTAAATCTATGTAGTGACTGTGTGCAGGTAAATTTTCACCTGAAATCGTTTTACTTCCACCTGTTTCCTTTGAAGAGTTTGCACAATACAAAAACCTGTCGACTATTTGAGTCCAAGTTCCAAAACCCAGAACTGTTTCTGGATTTGTTGAGTTCATTGACGTATAAATAGAGCCTATAGGATATAATGTTTGAAGTATTTCTGTCTTTAATGTTTGAAGCTCTGTTTTGTCTGCTTTCTTGTCATATAAATCTTGAGCAGTGAATTTAGTATTATATTCATCCTTCATGACATAAACATCTTTACATCTAATGTTTCTCATCGTCGTTATGTCGTCATCCGATGTTAAACCTTGTGGAAAGTTAGGAGGTTTACAATATAATGCATCCCCACCAGTTTCTTCAACCGTTCCTTCAATACTTTCTATAGCAACAGTTGTAAAACTTGTATGTGTATGAGTCTTATTTGCTTTCTTTTCAAGGCTAACGTTTAAGTCTGTTATTTCAGATATAGAATGTGTATGTCCAACGGCACTTTTCCTGTTTAAGGTTTCTTGTAAGTTTGTAATATTTGCAATGGTATGTGTATGTCCAACGGCACTTTTACTGTTTAAGGTTTCTTGTAAGTCTGTTATTTCAGATATAGAATGTGTATGAGTCTTTTTAGAATATTCGTTTTCAGCTCTTGTCACTTCACTTGACATTTTATTGTCAACATATGTTTTGTCTGCTAGTTCAGGATAAGTATGTTCTTTTGTTGCATAAGCATTGTTAGCTCTTTCTTCTTCTTTTGCTATTGCATCGTCTACATATTCTTTGTCAGCTTTGTTGTCAACATCTGCTTTCAAAAGAAGTTCATCTATAGGTTTCTCGTTTAAGGTTCCTTTTGTTGGATTTATACAAACAGTATGGTTCTTGTTGTCTTGAAACAGAAACTCATCTGTCATTGGGTTTAATGTCAGTTTTAAGTTTCCTTCTTTCAATGACTCAGATATCTTAGAATAGTTTGAAAAGTTTGTTGTGTTCTTATTTAGAGCTTGCAAAATGAGTTGTCGGTTGTGTTGTATTTCTCTCATAGACGCTGTTTCTTTCGACATTTTTATTCTAGATAAAATATGCTTCCAATAGAAAAGAAAATTCAAGAGTTGCTACAACTAAACCATTAGATGAACTTTTTACTAATGTCGGTCAAAAGTTTGAGACAGAGACCGTAAAGCATGAAGGCTATCGTTTTGACTACCCATTAAGATGGCTAAAGACCCATCTGTCACAAAAGCTATTGCTTTCGTAGAATGAAGTTTGTGTCTGTTAGAAGATAAAAGTTTTCCATTTATTGTAAGGTTCATATAGATTATATATCTGAAGGGAAACGAAAAATGTGGGAAGAAATTGAGCTAATACAAGTTGACCTTTCATCTTCTCTACAGACTGCGTTAAAAATATAGAAGATAAAATAAATTCATGTTATGCAAAATATGCTGATGAATATGCAAATACCGAGAGCACACTTTATGTGAGAATTGTATATGACAAAAAAATTCACAAGTGTCATTTCAAATCTACGAAGACAATCCAAAGAAAGACGAACAAATATATACAGAATTCACTGCAATGTCATGGTATTATTTGCAAAGAATGTTAAATCAGAAAGTCGAACTTCCTTTAGCAAATATTTACAGTCGATATGCAAGAGATGAACCATATTTATTTAAAGATGTTTTCGACCCAGCTGCTATTATTGTTCATGCTTCATTTTCTGGCGCCCAAAACTCTTTCTTATGCTTGGCAAATGACTTTTACGAAAAACCTACAAAGTTATACGAACCACCAAGTGGAAGTATTTCAGACTTTCAAGTATGGTTTACTACAGATGAAGAAAAAGAATAATTCCATTATACCATGCGTTTTTACTTAGAACTTAGTTTCATATACAACTACTATCGAACGGTAAAAATATAATTTTTTAATACGGTTGAGGTGTTGGATTTGGTTGCCAACTAGACTGTGGTGCAGGTTCAGGCTGTTGTATAAAGGAGCTTGCTCTTCTGGTTCAGGGTCTTTAGGTATATATCCAACGACTGACCTACTCTTTTACCAATATTTTTGACTCCGTTCCAAATTCCCTCTTCCTACGGTTTTTATTCCATTCCATATACCTCTTCCAACATTTCGAAAGAAGTTTCCAAATACTACTGAAGAAACCCATTTTACTATATGTAAAAATCTAATGTCCGCCTAGTCTCTTACGTCTCCTGTTGAGTTCCATAGCATTCTTTAACTGGAGTCATACATTCTGTTTCTCTCTCTGGTAGAAAACATATTCTGGGTCAACTCCTGTGTTCGCGTCATCTGCATAAAGTTGTTTATATCCCACTTCAGGGTTTGTATAAAACTCTTTCCATCTCATATTTGCATACCATGGTGGCAAACCTAACGCAGCGTCATTTGACATGGCAGTTTGCATTTGTACATCTGTTGGCACTTGACCATAGTTTGCCATTGCAGTTTGTATTCTAACTTCATTTGGAATATTCTCTGGGTTTGGTTGTCCAGGTTGCTGTGCATTCGCTAAGTTCTGTGCGTCCATTTAATATTAGATAAAAATATCTCTTACGAGTACATATGCTGAACATTTGCTGGTATTGGTTCATCTTCATATTCTCTGTACCTTTCTGCCACGTCAAATAAGTAAATGACACAATGGAAAAACCTAAAACAAGTAGTCCTATTTCAAACCACATTTACTTACCAATAAAATTTCTTTGTTGTGACACTTTCTTCCAGTTTATAGGACCTCTCTCATATTCTATCTTATCGTATCTAAACTCATAGTCATGTATGTCCTCTAACCATCTCATGACACTTTCCAAACCACTTTTATCGGATGTAAAGTAAAAGCATGGATGGTTATGTAAAACGTCTAAAGTTTCTAAAGAGTCTCTCAAAGTCCAGTCTACTTGGTATTGAAAATCCCATGTGTTATAGAACGGCGGGTCCACTATAAAGAAAACATTTTCCTTGTCTTTATATTTTTCATACAACTCTGTCCAATGACATCTCACAAACTCTATACCCTCAATATATTTTTCTATGTTCTCTTTGAAAACATTTGTATAGTTAAGATATAAAACTTTTGACATAAGTGTTTCAATGTCATGAACTCTTATAGCACCACTATATAATAGTCTAGCAGATATACTATCCCAGTCAATATACTCTGCCTTTTTCAAAACCTCTCTGACAGTATTTTTCTTATCTAATGGTATACGTTCCATCTTACCTATAGGTATCTTTTCTTTTAACTCTTTCAATATTTTGTTTGTGTCTGGTATATGTTTGAGACGGTTCATATAGTTGTCGAAGTCATTGCATATAATCTTTGAGTCAGGAAATATTGTATGGCACAAATGAGATATATAGAAACTTCCACCGAACAAGTCTACAAATGTTAGACCATTCGGTAGTTTCTTAAGTTCTCTCAATAGAATATCTTTACATCTACTCTTATTTCCAAAGAAGGGTAACGGTGGTTTTGTAAAATTCATTTTATATACAATAAAAATGTTTTTTCCTGAAAAGTGACAGAAAAGTGACAAAACATGTACGAAGAAGTCTTGAAAATTCAAGAGGGTAGAAAAGAGGTTAGAAAAGAGGTTATATCTAACCTTCTACCCTAAACATTATTTTTGTCTGATTTTACGAAGAAGTCTTGACAAAACATGAAAACATATATAATTTGTGAAAAGCTCCTGGAAGACCCGTATATAAGAACTTCATTTATACTAAACATCTTCAGGGCTAGAAGGCACGAAGTGCCTGGAAGCCCCACTACCTTTTTTTTTTTTTTTTTTTTTTTTTTTTAATTTTTTAACGTTGTTAGTTTTGACACTCATTTTCATACAAATTAAAAAAAATAAATTATTCAAAAATGTAAGACATGAATTTTTAAAGTTTATTTTTTTATTTTTTTTATTTTTTTTATTTCATTATGTATGGGTTTAGTGTAAATGTCTTACAATTTTGAAAATTTTTTAAATCTTGATTTATTCAAAAACGTAAGAATAAAAACCGTAAGAATCATACATTTTTTACTTCATATGTTAAAAAAAAATGATACAAAATCGCTCGATATTGTATGAATTCTTACGTTTACAAAAAAAGTCACAAAACCCGCATTATATACTACTTCCCATAATCTCCTAAATGTTTTCTTATCTTATTGGTTTTCCATTCATTATATGAAACTGTATAAACTTTATCTTTATTTTTGCATCTTTCATCACTTCCAATATATTTATATTTCAATTTTGATTTATTGGTTTCATATTCATTAACGTTTAATAATTCACAGTCTTCCTTTTTAAATAAATGTTTTATGTATTCAGGATTAAGAATTCTATAATATTGCTTCCCTTTAAATCTTTGAATATAAACAGGAACACCATCCTCTAAAATTCGATAATCTATTTTATCTGGTTTTACTTGTTGGGTCATTTATGTAAGAATAAAAAATAAATTATTTTAAAATTAATGTTAAAAATAATGATACAAAATCGTTCAATTATGTGAGAATTCTTACGTTTACAAAAAATGTCACATAACCCATCCTATACTACTACTTTAAAATCATCCAATCAAAAGATATGATTTGTATAAAAAGCAGTATGTTCAATGTCACATTTAAGGGTAGTTGTTTTGTGTAATCTAAAATCTATTTATAAAAAAAATTGATAACAAAATAAAGGATAAATTTTTATTAATTTAACAAGAATTAGATAATCTAAACTTCTAGACTTACGTATTACATTTTGTATATAAAACAAAAAAATAATTTTGTAAATTTAATTGTAATCAATAACAGAAACTGCTTGAATAATAATAGCGACAGCGAATGAAGCGCAAACTATGAATAGTTCGTATTTTCTCCAATCGAATGGTAATAAAAATGTAGCACGCCAAAGAAGGATTCCGAGATAAAGGAAAAATCCCATTGATATAGAAGTAAGTATTCCTTGTGCTCGTTTTCCGATATTCTTTTGTTCTGGGTAATTAAATGAAATATACGTAATTGGCGTAGCTATAGAGTAAATTGTAGTTAGTACCCAAAATATAAGTAATTTTGATTGGGATGATTGCAGTAGTAAGCCTAAAGTAAATGATTCAACCATTTTAGCGATTGAATATGCTATGAAAACTGCATAAATATTCTTTTTATCGCAACAAACGGAACAAAGTAAAGCTAAGCCCATTAAAATTGCGTTTGCTATTAAAAATAAGTATGAAATTATAAAATGTGATTTTGAAGGAACAGTTGAGAAATGATGAACGAGAAAGTGTGAAAAATCACGTGTAGAACCTTCAGAATTCATAGAATCTTGCATTGATAAACGACTTTGACTGCCAGGAATGTGTTCCATGAGGGTGAAAAGAACAAAAACGCCCAAAGCAATGTATAAATGCTCTGGATATTTGAGATAATCTAGATTTGAATTATAAATATTTATAGCATCTGCCAAGTAAGTGAGAAATGCCAAGCTGATTAATGATCCGCTTGCAAACGATTGAGCGCAAATCATTAAAGGGCCTGGTCTGAAAAATCTACTGAGATTGCAGCATAATAATGAAGCAATAAAAAGTGCAATTGAGAAGATTAAAAATTTTTCTTTCAGCTCCATTTTTGGCAAAAAAGGAAAAGTGAATTATCTCAAAAACTTAATTCTCCGCAAGACCTGGATAAATCTAATATGCAGTCGTTTCATAGATTAAAATGAATTCAGTTTTGATCTTGTAAACGATATTCTAAACAGTATGGGGGTTTTGGTGACAAATTTTATGTTGGTGAAAAAAACCGTATTCTCACAATTTTGAATGAAAGACTCTCCCCTACGTTTTAATGATTAATTCTAAAATGAGATATATTTCATGTTAAAAATGAAGTAACCAGGTTAACAACTTGAATCATTACAATAACTACTTTCTTCTGAACGAGAAAATTGAAAAATAAAAAAAGAATATGTTTTAATTGCATTGTCTCATAAATCAATAAGATGTGATTGAAATGTATCATGATTGCAAAATTACATTGTCGTTTTCTTGATGATTTAAATTTAATTTGCGAAAAAAATAAGAATATAGAAGGTATGATTGTGAATATAACCGAAATAGAGCATATTAAGACATAACACAAATATATTGACTTTCATAAGTAATTCGTTCATAATGAAAATAGTTTGAAGCATATTTGGAATACAAATATATATTTAAATTTTGATTAAATAAATGAAATGTATAGTAGTATAACCGCTAAAATGGGCTTATTTTTGGTGTCTGCTCAAGTTCGAATGGCAATCAACTTTTTTGATTATTGTTATTTTTTCCTATAGAATAACGAGAATTTCACAATCGTATTACTCTCTACTTATTAAAGTAATACAATATACATTTTTAAAGATATTCAAGCATTTTATCGTGTTATTTACAATAACTTTGAAATTTTCAAAAGTTTAACATTGTTTCATGAATTTTCGCATTTAATTGATCATCTTTTTTCAATATTTTTGCTTACGAAGAACTACTGGTAAAAAGGGGGGTTGGCGTCCTAAGGCGTCCTAGTGTAAATTTCTCAAAATTGTGATATTTACATCACATTTTTGAGAGGTTTATGGGCGTCCTAAGGGAAAATTGAATAGCTAGGGCGTCCCGAATTTTCATTCTAAGATTTAAATATATTATATACTTAAGTATAATACAAGCAATATAAAAATTAAATTTTTATTATGTTAACTTATAAGAAATTTTTTTGAATTATCGTTGATTTATTGTAATCTTTCCAGGCTATACTTTTGAAATCAACTTTACCTGTCATACGCATTAATGTAGTAGATGTCCAGGTGTAGCTATTATATCCCAGCAACATTGGTATTTTATCATTGTAAGATATCAAAATGAAGCGTTTTTTCAGATATAATTTTTCGTAAATTTTTCAAAAATAAGATGGTAAAAAAGCCTCGACTTGCTCGAAAAATAACATTTTTTACTTGTAAAAATAACCCTTTTACAGCATGGGCAGCTATTCAATCACTATTTCTTTTTCTAAAAGTATATTTTTCAAAAAAAATTAAGATCAAATTCGACAATTTCTTGATGAAAGCAAAAATATTACACATACTTCTAGATGCATGGGATAAAATATGCAATTATTCAATCAATTCGCATGATTTGAAAAAAAATCTAAATTTGATAAAAATGTAGAAATTTTTAATTTTTAACTTGAGATTCGATTTTTTTGATCCAATTTGTGAATTTTTTTTGATCGGAATTTCAATTAATTTGTTGATCAAAAATGACCTCACAATGTTTGATCATAAGTGAAGTCATCTTCATGGGTATTTAGAAATTCCAAGAGAAATTGCTTATTTCTCGCAGATGTAATATCTGAGATAATCGAATTTAAATATTCATAGAAACCCAAATCATTCTCCGGTTCGAATAATTCATCTGTTGCTTTTTCTGTTTTTTCTATGAATTTTAATAATTTGATTAATAAATCTTCATCAGGAAGAATTATTGCTGCATTTGTGATAAAATTCCATATTGAGGTAATATGGCAATAATTGCATTTATAAAATGTAATTTTATCCAAATTTTTTGGCAAATTCGCATAATAGCATTAATATTTGAAGCTGAGATTAAACCTGTGATTACTTCTGTAACTTTTGGAAAATCATCGCAATTTAATATCTCTTTATATTGAATTGAGAAATAAAAAAAATCAAATGGATTCATTTCTTCAATTTCAAGGAGATTGTAAAAATTGATAGAAGTGTTATTGCAACAAATTGTATTTGCAGTAGTAGGATATGACGGGTTTAGTGACTTTTTTTGTTACATCTATATATATAGACGATGCATTAAAATATATTTATTTATAAATCATTAAAAAATTAACATTAATTTTAAAATAATTTATTTTTTATCTTTTATAAAAGAAGCTATATATAGATGATGTCAGATATTCCGCGATTAATTAAACATTGTTTAAATCCTGAATGGGTTAAACTTCAATTTAAAAATGAAGATTGTGAATTATTAAATGAATATGAAAGCCAAAATAAGCTAATGAGGTATAAATATAATGATAAAGAATATTTAATTTCATGGAATCAATGGAGTCATAATCAAAGACCTCATAAACGAGAAGAAGAAATTGAAAATAATGAAATGGAAATCATTGATGACATTAAAGAGGATGGAATTCCTAAATTTTGTAGAAAAACCTTTAGAACTAAGTTAGGAGCATATAAACGTAGAGTATTAAATCCTGAATATCTTAAACATCAATTTAAAAAGGAAGACTGTGAATTATTAAACGCTAATGAATATGAAAATGCTAAATCAAAACTGAGATATAAATATATTGGAAGTGATGAAAGGTGTAAAGATAAAGATAAAGATTATTCAGTTTCATATAATAACTGGCACACGTTAGGGATAAGAAAACATTTAGGAGATTATGGGAAATGTTCTGAATTCTTTAAATCTAGTATATACGAGAGAGTAAAAGAAATTAGAAATAATTATTTTCATGAATAAAAAATAAACTTTAAAAATTCATGTCTTACATTTTTGAATAATTTATTTTTTTAATTCGTAAGAAATGAGTGAATCAAAATTCGTTAGCACACAAGCGCTTATAGCTTATACAGTACCAGACCATCTTAAGTTTTCTTCAGATACAATAGAAATAATGTTAGACATAAAAGATGAAAAAGCTAAAAAAGATTTGAGAGAAAGTTTAGGGTATAGTCAAAATTCAAGCGTTAACTTTAAACATGTTTTAATACCTGTGATAGAGGTCACAAATGAAGAAGAGGAAAACGTACCTATACCAATTAATGTAACCCCAGTAGCAATAGAAATAGATCCAATGAACGTATATCCTCTATTCTATTGTGATTGTAAAAATTTGGAAATAAATAAAAAAGATATGTATGAAAGATATAAAAAATATTGTGAAGTAAATTGTTGTAAACAGAAATTCATCAAAAGTGACACCTCAGAAAAGCTAAAATATTGAATTTTTGGAACTTTTGATAGAGCACGTTTTTAAATATTAATTAAAGTAAATGTATATTTTGTAAAGATTCTTTTTAATAAAAAAATAAAATTTTGAAGAAGAACACAAAATCTTCTGAAAAATAATATCACATAAACTCATATTATTTTCTAATATATAACTATTTTATATAAAATCAAATTCAATGATCTTAAAGCGAAGGATAAACCTCAAAATTTACGAATATAATGAGTGGGAATATAATGCTTATCTATCATAAAACCATATGAAATATCAATTTTGCTTTACGCCTAATTTTTACGACAATTAGCAAAAAATGTTAAATGTAACACTCAGTCCATTTGAATATGAAAAATAAAATTGACTTTGATTAAATGTTTTTATTTATCATGCAATTCTTCTTGCGACCAAAGATTTGAATAAAAGTTCAAAAAATAAGATAGCTTAAAAAATAATATACGGTAGTGTTTACTAATAGATGAATAGTATATAAATTCTATTAAAATTGATTTGATCCAAAAAAATATAAAACCAAAAATAATTGTTATAATTTAAATGAAGAAGTAATTTAAAACGATTTTATTTATGATCAAATTTTATATATTTTTTTGGATCAAATCAATTTTAATAGAATTTATATACTATTCATCTATTAGTAAACACTACCGTATATTATTTTTTAAGCTATCTTATTTTTTGAAGTTTTATTCAAATCTTTGGTCGCAAGAAGAATTGCATGATAAATAAAAACATTTAATCAAAGTCAATTTTATTTTTCATATTCAAATGGACTGAGTGTTAACATTTAACATTTTTGCTAATTGTCGTCAAAAATTAGGCGTAAAGCAAAAATTGATATTTCATATGGTTTTATGATAGATAAGCATTATATTCCCACTCATTATATTCGTAAATTTTGAGGTTTATCCTTCGCTTTTAAGATCATTGAATTTGATTTTTATATAAAATAGTTATATATTAGAATAATATGAGTTTATGTGATATATTTTTCAGAAGATTTCATTCTATATGCCTATGAAAAGTACTCTCAAAACTAACTTTTTCCTAATTATAATTAAATCTAGAATATTGTATTATGCTTAGTATTATTTCATTTTTCTCATTCAATTTAGAATTTACAAATGTCAAAAAATTGAGAGCCGTCACTTTTGATGAATTTCTGTTTATTACAAAATAAATTTAAACCAGATTCAGAGGATGAATTTCATATAAAAATAAGAAGTTTGTTTGACCTTAAGAATGATTTATATATAAAAATAAAATAAACTTCTTACGAAAAATTAAAACTTAGTTATGTTTATTATATTTTATTTTATTTTGTATGAAATGAGCGTCAAAACTAAAACGTTAAAAATTAGGATTCACAAACGAGGAAATAAAGGATATATTAGAGGAGGTAGGTTATGAAGTTAATAAATATTATTAAGAAATTGTCAAAAAATTTGCCGAGTTATTAAATGATTTAGATTATGATGGAAAAATGAATAAAGATGATGTTATAATTTCTTATATCCCACATCTGAAGAAGAAAAACCTAAAGAACCTGATGTTTTCCCTGAATATTATGAAGAACGGATTAAAGATGATGAATACAATGAAATTGAAAGACTGAAAAAATAAGAGATGAAATAGATGAAAAATTTAAGGAATTAAGAGAAGTTGAAAAATATAATGAAAAAAGTAGAGGGTTTAATGAATTCCCAGCTTCAGAATCAAAAGTTCAGAAATCTCATGAAGAAAGATATAAAAATTATGTCTCAGAATCAACACAAAATTTATTAGATGGTGAAATAGACGAAACACTTTCAGAAGAAGGTACTAAATTTATTCGTAAACATAAGTTACAATTTATTGATAAGAAGAATACCCCTGTATCCTACTTTCACCACCTTAGATCCGAAAAATTCAAAAAGCTCCTAAAAACGTGACATATGCAACTAATACGATTAAGAAAGAAGATCAAATATTTCACAAATTATTATTTAAATAAATGCACAGGTGTTGATAAAGTTTTTATTATTAGATAAATATCAAAAGAAACCATTGGACCTATAAAATTTTATGTGATTGTGGTTTCATTGTTGAAGATACCAATAATGTTTCATATGAAAGAACAGCACTGAAGGAAGACGAAGTTGAAAGGTCTATACCATTCGTTATTAAGAACATAAAAGATATGAAAACTTATAAACATTATATTTATTCATTTATTTCAGAAAAATGGAAGCAACCCATAAAACATCTTCTCATCATTTATAGCTATTCATACATTCCTTTCAAAGTTGTGAAATTAAATAAGACAGGAATTAGATTTAATGTATCAGGGTACGCATTCTTGAGTAAATTAAAATGTATTCGTCACGTCGCAGATGATAAAAAATTTATGTGTTCTTAATTCATTTTATGGGCTATAAAAAATAAACTTTATTTTTATTTATTTTTTAATTTTTTATTCTTACATAAATGAACAAAAACGGAACAGCTAAAAAATGATAATCAAATTAGAGCAGAAGGTAGAAGGTTATTTAAACGCTTCTATAACATTCCTGATGTGTTAATCCTAAAACTCGTAGAAGCTATTTAAATGAAGCAATAGATGCATATGAAGGGTTTGACATTTCATCAGAAAGTGAGAGATTAGCGAGAATGTTAAATGTTAATATTGATTTCTATTATTGTGATCCTCAACCAGAAGACGTGGCATAAATAAGGTAGACTTTCATTAGTGGAATCAATAATGATAGATCCAGAATTTGAAACAGTAAATATTTTATTAACACAGAGTCCATGTGGAAAACTTCACGCTGACAGAATAACAACGTTGAAGCACTCACCGGCTAAAGTTTGTCCATATTGTAAAGAAGAAGTTTATTCTATCCGTGATGATCCAGAAGGAAAAACCAAAGAAGATTTTTAAAGCATTGTGAGAAATGTAAAGAAAATAATGGAAGATTAATTCAAGACGTTCAATTGCAAAACCCAGCAACCATATGCACCACATATTACGAAACAGAAGATATATCAGTGGTTATTAGCTCACAATTTGCAGAAATATTATAAACCGACAAGATATTATATTACTTTTGACTTCGAAACATTAGAGACTAAAGAAGAATTACAACTTTCTGAGTGTGCAACTTTGAACGCTACTTAAAACCATTCATTGTATCATCAACGTTAAATTAAATGATAAAACATATACGAGGAATTTTTTGCTTAACTTCGAGTGATTCTTTTATTTCTGATTGGATTGAGTTTTTATTTTCAACCTGTTCATTAGTTGTTGAATCAAATATTGAACAATATTAAGAATTAATGAAGCCGCAAACGGCAGGGAGTTTGTCCCATACATTAAATGAAAAACAGAAGGAAGCATTTAAAGAACTTCTAGATGAGGAATTCAATAAAGTGAATATCATAGGTTTTAATTCGGGAAAGTTTGATTTAAATTTAATTCTTCGTGATTTAAACACTGCAAAATGGAAAATAAAATCAATGCTGGGTTCATCTCACAATTTAAGCAAATCATTTGTAAAGAAAAACAAACGTTCCATATGAATTGAGATTTATTGACATCAGAAATTATATAGCGGGTGGGACATTAGACCAATTCACTCAAGATTTCGGAAACAATAAATCACGTGTTAAATCCTTTTTCCCTTATCAATTCATCACGTGGGAAAATTACGAAGAAGAATTATATAAAGTGGAACCATTCACTCAAGATTCATTTTATTCAGCATTAACTCAAGAAACTATATCAGATAGTGATTATCAAATATATCTCAATGATGCTAAAAACTTTAAGAATAGATTAGAATATTTTATTCATTATTGCAATAAAGATGTTGAAATTATGATTGACCCAATTGATAAAATTATTGAAGAAACATTTGTTTATAAAATTGACATGCTTCATAATTTTTCTTTATCATCGAATGCTTCAATGATTCGTTACGCTTTAGCATATAAAGACTTTAATCCTAATGAAAAATATCCTGAGGAAGAGATAGAATCAAGTTTTGAATTAACGAAAAAGTATTGGAAATATAAAATTGAATCATATAAGAAACAAGATGAAAAAGCAGAAAGAGATACTAAAAATAATGTTTCAATGGATGATTTTCAATACTATCACGATTTAATCCTTTCATCTAAATGCAAAATGTGTGGTAAAGCGTTTACATATGCAAATAAACCAACATTGGATAGAAATGATAATGAAAAACCACATACCAAAGAAAATTGTCAGTTAATGTGTTGTTATTGCAATGTCGTAAAATCAAATAAAGATGAAAATGTTCAACGTTTAAGAATCAATTTAAGAAATTATGCATTAAAAAATAATTTACCAATGACTTTAGATTCAGTTGAAGCTTATCACATTCTCCGTAATGGAATTACTGGTGGTCTATCAAATGTTCAACATCGTGTTAATCTTAAAGGAATCACGCACATTAATAAACTTTCATATAATCCAGAAACTAAAACTGTATCAAATGAGGACACCACCAACATTATGACTCATTTCGTTGGAGTTGACTTTAATTCATTATATCCTTCATCATTTTCATCTAATCCTCATGATTTCATTCAATATACTGACCATAAAATGTATATGCCGGGAAGATTGAATGGTGTTATCATTTGTGATACAGCAACAAAGAAAGCAAAAGCACTGGGAATAATTAAGAAGAAAAATACTTTATTCGTGGCTGAAGAAAAGGGTCACATTGATGAAAAATACATTAATGATTACATAAACTTTTTACCGATAATAAGAAACTTAGATATTATCACAGATGAAAAAACAATTGGCAGTTTTATGTATAATTACATGAAATCAAACAATCTACCAGTTGACCAGAAACAGGGGAAATTAACTCAGTTAGCATCAACACACAACCAATATCAACCATTTTCTTCTTATTATCTTTGGTATCTAATAGACAGATTTCATTTTATCATTGATGACATTCAATCAATTTTAACATTTACTAAAAACACTTGTTTTAATGAATTTGCGAACGAATTTATGAACGAAAGACAAATTATCAATTCTGATGAGTTTGAGAAATCCAAACAACAAAAACAAAAGTTTGCAATTCATTTTGATAATTCAAGGGTTCACAAAAGTCATAAGGTAATGAATTACTTGGTGGAAAACAATGTCAAAGTTGTTCCAAACCCAATTTATTCACCTGATATTGCACCCTCTGACTTTTATTTATTCAGCACGCTAAAAAAGAGAGCTGAAGGACGCGAATTCGCGAGTCCAGATGATCTTGAAAATTTTGTAAGAGAGCAATTTGAGCAATTTTCTCATGATGATTTAAAGCGTGTCTTTCAAGCCTGGATCGATCGCTGCGAACGCGTGATTGAATCCAATGGTGATTATATTTAAATAAACTTTATATATATGTAACTTGTTTATTTCTATTCGCAGTATTCAGGTTTGTGCTAAACACACCTTTGGACACCCTATATTATCATAGATGAAAAAACAATTGGCAGTTTTATGTATAATTACATGAAATCAAACAATCTACCAGTTGACCAGAAACAGAGGAAATTAACTCAGTTAGCATCAACACACAACCAATATCAACCATTTTCTTCTTATTATCTTTGGTATCTAATAGACAGATTTCATTTTATCATTGATGACATTCAATCAATTTTAACATTTACTAAAAACACTTGTTTTAATGAATTTGCGAACGAATTTATGAACGAAAGACAAAAGGCTGAATTAGAAGGAAATAAAGGAAAAAGTTTATTTTGCAAGATTTCACTTAATGGATCATATGGTTACGATGCAATGAATACGCAAAATTACGCAAAGACTAAAATAATGAATGCACAGAAGGCACGCGTTGCATGTATGTCAAATAAGTTTAAAAACATAAGAGAAATAGGTGAAGATACATATCAAGTGATGCTTAAAGATAGATTTTATAGATGTGATACATGTTTACAAGAGGCATTCTTCACTTTAGATAATGCTAAATACTGGTATTTGGTTTTCATTTATGATTTTATGTATAAATGCATGAATGTTAATCGTTTTCATTTCATTGAAGGTGATACTGATTCATCTTATTGGGCAATCGCTGGCGACCCAAATCTTCCTAACACTCAAGCATTTCAAGCAATTGTTACCGATAAACAATTTTATGATAAAAACATTTTCAAATTCGCACCATTTGATTTCTTCTGTTTTGATGAGAAATTTAAACCTAAATTAAAGAATAAAGCTGAAGAAAAAGCACATGAGAAGAAGTTATTGGGTTTAGCAATTGAGAAACAAGGTGATAACATGGTTGCTTTATGCCCTAAGTGTTATACATCATTCAACGGTTCAATTGATGGAAGTGATTTTAAAAAGATTGCACAAAAAATGAAAGGTGTTAGTTTACGACAAAATAAACAATTAACACCTAAAAATTATTTGGATATAATAAATGATAAAGTGATATTTGATGGTCAGAATATTAATTTACAACTTAAAAACGGGTCAATGACTCGCTTAACAATCGGTAAGACTGCATTAACAGGAGCACACACTAAGGCTGTATGTTGTGAAAATGGATGTTGTATGCCATTTATTTAATACAATTTAAAAACGTAGGGGTTGAGTCATGAATTTAAAATTTTATTTTTAATAAAATGCCACAGAAGAGACAAAAGGAACCGAATAGATTTATACCAAATGGTTTTAACTTTCAGATTCCAAATAATCAACCGCAACGAATTTTTCAAATCCCACCACAGCATCAACAGCAGCAACAACGACCACCACCACAACGTCAACGGAGAAGAACATTCACCCCTGAAGAAAGAAATTTCAATAATTTGATGCGTCAACAAAATCAAGGTTTGAGATTTTATCCGGGCAGTAATGGTATACATATAAGGCATCCAAATTTAGATAGAAGATATACCGCTGAGATTCATATTTTACCTAATAATACGATTAATTTTGCTGGATTTTATGATCATCATCAGGAAATCTGGACTCCACCATTTGATACCGTTTTAGAAGGAGGAACCGTTAATGATGCGATTCAATATGTAAATAATGGTTTTGATACTATGATTCAAAGAGGTGGGCACCCTTAAAACATTTATTTTATTTTTATATAAATGGATAACGCAGATTTAGAAAATTTAATTGATGATTTAGTACTTAATCAAAATTTTCTTAATTATTATGAATTAAAATCATATCTCCAAAAACATAATAAAAATATAACGGGTGATGATATGGATTATTATTATTCATATTATAAAAATGAAATTTTGAAATATCATGATAAAATAATTTCTGAAATTAAAGACAAAATTAAAAATAATGAATATACAAAGGGAAAAACTAAATCACAACTTAAACAGTTGAAAGATTTCAAAAATAAAGTATTAACAGAAGAAGATATTGATGAATTATATAAATTATATAATCCTGAGCCGCAAAAGCCAAAGGAACAAAAACAAAAGAAGAAAAAGCCGAAAACAACACCAAAAGAGAAAGTAGCAAATGTTCAACAGCTAAAGGTGCAAAACGCCCAGGTCCTTCAGACCATAAATGAAGCACAAGCTTTAATTTATGATTCATTAGTTAAACCATATTCAGCCCGACTTTTAAATGAAGATCAACTTTTGGAATTCATCCTTCAACATAAACTCGAAGCGGGAAAGTATATCAAACCTTTATATACAGCATATTTAAAACAAATGAATAGAATACATCCAGAATTAATGAAAGGAAAATCAACAACTAAAACTTCATCATCCAAAATCAAAGCAGATAAAATTAAACCACTTGCAACACCAAAACCTCCAACGACAGTACCTCCTCCTTCAGTTAATCCTTCATCATTCACTTTATTATATCCATTTCAAACATTAAAGAAGCAAAAAGATTTTAAAAAGGATTTCAAGATATTAAATAAACCAATTGACCCGAAAATTCAACCGTTAAAGGAAAAATTTAGTCGCCCTTCATTTGCACCATATCCATATTCATACGAAATCGATCATCTGGAATATTCAAAAGGAAACGTTACTTATTTATTTGCCATTAACATTAACACTAGATATTTATATTGCATTCCAGTGAAAGGGAAAACAGAACAGGAAACAAGAAGAGCTATTCAATACTTACTAGATCATGAAAGAGTAGATAATATAAGGGGTGATGGTGATAAAGGATTTCAGGCAGCTATGGCTCATTATTTCCCACAAATTAATTTTTACTTCTCATCTTCTCCATATACGTTTCATAATAAAATAGTTGATGCGGTAATGAGAACTCTTAGAGATGCGTTAGGGGTTAACGGTCAGATATACTGGGATGGAAATCATGACTCCATCATACAGCAGTTAGTATATTATTACAATAATACATGGCATAGAACTATAAACATGAAACCAGTGGAAATGAAAAATGATATTTCAAAAGAATGGGAATATATTAGAAAGCAAATGGAAAGGTTAAATGATGTTAAACGTGAACAAATTAATTCGGGGCTCATGAATTTTAAACAAGGGGATAAAGTTTTGATTCATCTCGATTATGGAAAAACTGATAAATCAATGACAAAAAGAAGACGAAGATTTGACACAATAGCTGAATTTGTTAGATATATTAACGGCAATGCATTAGTTGAAGTTGACAATAAATTAATAGAAATTCCGATTTATTTTATTACTCCATTATATTTAAATAATATTTAATTTTTTTATTTCGTAAGAAATGAGTGACAACAAAGCAGCCAAGAGTCCTGATTCAATTAAGATTCAGAGTCCAGACAATGAATATAAAAAGAAACTAAACAGAATTAAATCAAAAATATGCTATTACAAAAAGAAGCCGCAATGCGGTGGGCTGATGCCCATAAAACTAAAGTAATTGAAAACGATAAAGAGAGGAAAGAAATAATCGAAAAATTAGAAACTTACCGTTCAATCCTTAAACTGAGTGAAGCAAAAATAAAAGAATTTAATAGAATAAATAAATTGATTGGAAGAGATGAATTTAATAAAGATGAATTTTTAAACTCAATCCAAATTTAATTTTTATTCCTCTTCGACAACGTCTCTTCGAGACGCCGAACCCTTCTGGGTTCTTCTTTCCATCATTACTGCATAACCGCATCTTCTCGGTTTTCGTGGTTTGTTGTTTTTAATTCGTTCTTGCATCATTTTTATCATTTCCTCCCTTGTTATGATTCGTGGTAAATTTTGAGCTTGTGGGGTATCCATTTATATAAAAATAAAATTTTGTTATCAGTTATTTTATCATCATTTTATTAAGTTCATCTTTAGTTAATTTGAATGGATTCGCTAATGTTCCACCTTGAGCCACAACACTTGCCCCGGCTAATTGTGAAGAACCTGGGATAAGTACTCCATGAAATGATTTCATTGGTATCATTAATTTAGAAATAGTTGGCTTAATTAATTTTGTCATTTATGATAAAAATAAAATTGCATAATTTAAATTTTTTTCTTTCTCATTTTCTCATTTCTCATTTTTCTCTTTTTCATTCTGTTTTGGTTTCAGCAACTTTTCAAGTTGTTGTCTTGTCAGTAACTTTAATTTTAACTTTGGATCAAATATTGGGTTTCCATCTTTATCTCTTCCAATAACACCATATGGTAGAATCTTCATTTATACTAAAATAAAAATTTAAATTATGCCGTTCTAAAGTTTGTGAAACAAACATTGAGCGTTCATTGAACGCGAAACCATGCATAAACTGTCATATAAGGTGGCATGTAATCTGTACCTCTTCCTGTCGTTTGTGTATATCCTGAAACGTTATGTGAATGTGTACCTGAACCGTTTGAAGTATATCCTTCATTCCATCTATTTTTATTACCGTACCAATATTTACCCCTGCTAGCGTCTCTATCAGACCATCCATCAGGAAATCCATTATTTCCATCAGGATATTCAAACGAATTAGTATAAGTATGACTATGCCAGCCCGAGTCTTGAGTGTTTAAATTAACATAATGACTATGAGCAGGTAAATTTTCGCCAGTAATCTTTTTACTTCCACCGGTTTGTTTTGAACTATTAGCACAGTAGAGGAAACGATCGGTTATTTGTTGCCATGTACCGAAACCGAATACATCAGCTGGATTTGTTGAATTCATTGATGTATATATTGAACCAATGGGGTAAATCATCTCAAGAATTGTATTTAATCCATTATGAATATTGAATTTATTATATAATATTGAAACTGGGTAAGAAATTAAAATTGGTCTTGTCATCAATATTAACGTATTATTTTTGAAAATTGCTTTTCTAACATCTTGAAATTTTGTGATTTCAGACCAGTTTCTTCCATCACTACTGATATTTACTAAATCACCACATCCTAAAGCAATGAAATACCCATCAATATAAAATAAATTAGTAAATCTATAATTTCGAGTAAGTTTTGGAGTGAATGAATAAACCAATTCCCAACTTGGTGTTTTCTCTGGATCCTGTGAAAAATCTTGTGATAAATAAATATGTCTGTTATAACTTACAGGATATGAATAGACCATACCACCTGAAACAAGAACACAAACATTTGAAGCATAACATAAAGCTTCAATGTCTCCATCAGCTTGAAAAATTTGTTCAAAACGACCAAATGGTATTGAATATGATCTATAAATTTTATCATTTTGTAGGATAAAATACATGTTGTTAATGTAATACCACTTACTTGTATAATCAATTTCCAAATCTGATGACATCATACTAAACATATAATAATTTATCCCATCCTCACTAATGAAAATTTGATTGACTTCATAAATTAGTACCCATTTATTATTAACGCATCTAATAGGATTATTTGGATATTTAAATTTAGCATCTTGATTTAAATTACATTTGAACCATTGGATACAATCGAATGAATAACAAGGGCAAAAATCATCTCCAACCGTTATCATTCCCATAAATTTACCGTTATTATATTCAACATATAAAATTCTTGGATTAATGATTGGCTTTCGTGTATCAGGATTCCAAACAGATGGAGTAAATGATTCATAGTTTTTAAAATCATTTGTTTTAAAATAATAAAGCACTCCAGCTGTATAAAATAAATACATGGTCACTCCATCGAAACATATCCATTCAAAAGAATCTATATCAAAGGTTTTATCTGATGATTTCATAAAATTTAAAAATGGTGGAGTAAAATAGACCTCTGATTGTTTTATTTCTTCATTAACAAATGATATATCAGCTTTCTTTGCTAACTCAGTATTAATGAATGAAATAACTTTTTCCTTATCTGCTTTCTTCTCTAACTCATCGTTAACATAAGTTTTATCTGCTTTAAGGTCTAAACATCCTGAAACCCATTCTGTATCAGCTTTAACTTTAAAAGTCTCCAATGTCCATTCATGATACCCTTCAACCTTTTCTTTAATTTCATTATCTTTTTCATCAACATAAACCAAATTTGCCTTCTTATTTAATTCCTGGTCAACATAACTTTTAACTGCTTTTTGATTAATTACTCTTGAATTTTCATTAACTCTGAAATTTAAATTATCATAATTACTTTTAACTGTTGCATTTGTTTGATTAATTCTGTTATTTAATTCATCGAATTGAACATGTGTATGATCAACATCTGCTTTCTTATTTAACTCGGTATTTACATAAACTAAATCTGCTTTCTTATTTAATTCAGTATTAACGTATTCCTTATCTACCTTCTTCATTAATTCAGTATTAACGTATTCCTTATCTACCTTCTTCATTAACTCACTATCCACATATTCCTTATCCACCTTCTTCATTATGTCATTTAGGAAACCTTCTATGAATTCCTCATTTAAATTAAATCTTCCAATCTTCAAAACTTTAGGAAATGCATTTAATGCGTAATATCTCTGTTCTTCTGGTGGAATTGATGTTATATCATCCGTTATTCCTTTAATTTTTGAATTCATAAATAAAATTTCTTTTATATTTGATATCACTGCACCACCTTTGCAAACGAATTCGAAATGGTCATTTTTCAATACTATCTCCAAATTTCCATATTTCAACCTTTGCGTTTGTTCTGCCGTCTTTGAATTATATGCATATGTGGCGTATGGTAATAAGTTGCTGTTGTTTAATCATTTATTACGATTTAAAAATAAATATTTAATCCGTTATCTCATCAGCTATTTTCTCTATTTGAAATTGCCATAATATTTCATTCATAAATTCTAAATCACAATCAAATAGGTCAGTTATTCTAAATTTAATATTTGATAAATCTTTTGAATGAAGAATAAATGAATTCCCGGATAATTGAAACGGATATGATAAAGAAAATGTGTTTAAGTTGATGGATAAAATGTTTTGTATTGATGGGTAAGAGTTAGGGTCTAATGTTTGATGTGAAAATCTCATTGGGGTATTAACTTTATCACATTTGATTAAAATGAAATTGGAACCAGTGTCAGAATACAAAACATCCCCAACATCTTTTTCAAAATTTAATATCCCCAACAATGAACGAAGATGAGGAGTACAAAATTTAATTTTCAGCGGAAATTTAATAAGGTTATTTATTTCATCAAGTTCAAAAAGTTTATCAGGTTTTGATTTAAAATTTTCTTCATACCATACGATAAATGATTCATTTAAATAACTTAAAATCATGTTAATATCCCATTTCGCTATCACATTATTTATATACATATCATACGTTTTTTCAAGGTCTACGACCCGCCGCTATGCGGCTCATGGTCATCTTTAATAAATGATATATAATCTGAAGGGTCTAAAAGAATGGGATTAAATTTACCACTCACAGAAACGAGAGTAACATTATAAATTCCGCTAACTGTTAAATTTAATTCACAGTTATTATTCGAAATAATATTGATAATTGACATTTTTTATTACGATTAAAAATATGGTAAAGCGTTATTTTCCAGTGATAAATAAAACTAGAATAAGATTACCTCAAGAATTCATAAATTCAACGAATAAGAAATTCATTCATGTTATAAATTTTAGTGTTTTCAGAAAATATGAGTCAGTGTCATATTCATCAACAGGTTATATTTCACTTCATTCAAATTTAGTTCAATCAAACCCATATAATGACCATTTCATAAGATTTTCAGATGGTATTAAAAATGTAATTGATAGATTAAAATATGAACAGATTGACAATATCGAATTTTTGGAATTTTGGTTTAAATATCCCGATGGAAAAAAGATTGAAGTTAAAGATAAAGCTGATACTATAACAAAAACAATTACAATGACCGATCCGGATAGTGGGGAACAAAAAGAAATAAAACAAACGATAGAAACTGGTGAAAGGTCAATTATTATTGATTATGATTCAAAGGATTATTATTCGATAATGTTAATGCTTGAATATTAAATAGCCTTAACAAAGAATTTTTCAAGTGATATTTTATATTCATCAACTATTTTATTATAAATATCATTATATGTTAAATGAAGTTCAGTTGTTGTTCCGTTCTTTGATATCTTAATTGTGCTAATATCCTTTATAGGATTTATTTTTGCAACTGTTCCGCAGCATGAAACCTCATCATCTATGAAAAATTGAATCTTAACGTCTGAATCTTGAACATCACAAAGAATGGCGATAATGTGAATTAATGATTCATAAGGTAAAATAATTAAACCGGATTGATCAATTAAATTTATTATTGAATCATAATTATTAATTATTATATCACGGTAAATTTTCATTAATTCAGAATTAATGTCTATTTTATATGGGTTATCAAGTGGTGCGGGTATGTTGGATAAGTGGGAATTTCAACAGGTTCTTTACCGGGTTCAGATAAAATGATTGGGTCTCCATCTTCTTTATTTTGCTCCTCCTCCTTTTTCGGTAAGTCACGAGTTAATAAATTTGGTTGAGTTGCTGACCTTGTTAATTCAGGGCTAACATTAACTTTAACATTTTGAATAATTCGTGATTTATCATCATTTACGTTATAACCAACCGTAATCTCTGCTTTTGCGTTAGTGTTCTTTTGACTAGTGAAACGTCTTCTCATTTATAATCGAATAAAAAAATATATTTAAACTTTTATTTTGCTGGAAGTTTTGAATCTATTATTCCCTGTATTTGTTCTTGAAGTTGATTTTTAGCTGGTTCATTGTAATTAATAGACCTAATATATTCATTAATTGCATTCTTATAATCATCTGATTTCTCAAATTTTCTTTTATCTGATTCCTTAACTAAATCATAAGTTAAACCTCGTTGCTGATATAATGGTTTCTTAATTAAATCTTTGAATGCTTGAGATAAAGCACCTGATGCAATTCTTGCTACTATAATTGGTTGGAATTGCTGTTTAAGTTCATCTTTAACATTTGCGAAAACTGGATCGAATAAAGCAACTTTAAAGAATTTCTTAGCTGAAATTTCAGGTCTAATATTTGCATATTGACCATCAAACTGGTTAGAATATCGTGGTAATCCATCCGGTCCCTCTTCAATAGCATTTAATTCTTCATTGAAATAAGAATATGGATTATAACGGTATGAATTAATTGGACCATTTTCACCTTCTCCAATGTATTGTTTAACAGCTTTTCCATTTTCATCAAATTGCATAGGATAACGTTCATTATATGCTTTACGTTTAGGATAATCAGTTATAGTTAATTTATAACCATTTATGACTTTAATATTACCTTGACCATCAGTAACGAAAACTTCATTTATACCATCAGGTTTTCCATTTGGACCCGTAATGTCTGCTTCGTGTGCTTCCCAATTTGGACCTTGACGTTTGGCATATGCTTGAGCTTCTGGTAATGTTAAAACGTTTCTCATTTGTTTAACATCTTTTTGAAGACCAGCAACAATATGAACTAATTCTTTCATTCCATCAGGAACTTTCATAGTTCTATTATATGCACCCTTTTTGTTTGTTCCTTGTTTTAATGGAACCTGTAGAAGATTTGCTATTTCTGTCATGTTTAATTATAAATAAAAAATAAAAATTAATTATAAAAAGTTAATCAAATTTAACACTCCTTTATTTAAATCAACTATTATTTTTCCATGTTCACCTAATTGCTGATATTGTGTGTAAAGTTCATTAATGCTCATTGGTAAATTCACTTGATAAAGCATAACGTTCAACTGTTGACGACTAAACCCACTGAAAATGAAAAGGTTGATAGATTTGATTTAATGTTTGTGCTTAATGCTTTGAAGTATTGAACAGCCATGAAGAATGAACACTGAATGTGTCGACAT